CAATCGGCTGGGCGCCGCGGTCCTGGGGCGGGGGCGGTGGCACCTGTGACCAATAAGGCTCCAGAGGGCCGCCACCTGAGCCAATCCTCGAGGGAATCCCACGATCGCAACCCAATCGCCGAGGCGCAGGGCGGACTACCTGTCGGGCGGGGCGCGGCCCCACCTGAGGCCAATGGGAGCGCGCGCGGTCTGCCTCTGCCCAGCAACGCGCGGCGGTGGGACAGGCTGGAGGCCCAGTGGTGTCCTCTCAGCGCTCTGTTCCTCTGGAAGTGGGTTCGTCGGGGCAGTGGTTTTCAAAGCGGGCCCAGACCGAAGTCTCAGCACCTCCGGGAACTTGTTGGAAATGTAAGTTCTTGGATCCCACTCAGACCTTCGGAATCGAAACTTAAGCAGTCACTGTTAGCAAGCCCTGTAATCCTTGGAGATGCTGCTGGCCTAAGGGGCAGCTGGGGAGCGGAGTGTCGGTAACTTATTTTAAATACAGAGGTCAGTTTCCAGGCTTTTTCTCACAGCGGGCCCCTCCTCCTAGAAACCTGATCCTCCCACCCCTCCTGGTCTTCAACCTGGGAAGAGCTCCCTTGGCTCAGTCTTCCTTCTCAGTCTCTTGAGCTTCTCATAAAGGCTTGTTGCATTCCGTAGCGTCTGTCAGAACTCACAGCGACCTCTGTAGGACAGAGTAGAACTGCCTCCATTGGTTTATGGCCGCAAATATCCTTGCAAGCTCTCAGCGCTCCCCAGAACTCCAGATTATGCCGCACATCTGATTGATACTTTCTTCTTAAGTACCCTCATTTGCCACCCGCAAATCCCTTCGGCTCCATCTTCAAAAAATATTTCCAGAATCATCCAGACACTTCCCACCACCCCAATTGCTAACACTTGATCTAAGCCACGCCATTGCCTGAGTTTGCAGGAGTTTCTGACTACTTCCCATCGTGTTCTTGTTAAGCGCCTTCTAGTCGGTTCCAACCCATAGCGACCCTGTATAGGGTTTCCGAGGAGCGGCTGGTGGATTTGAACCGCCGACTTTTCGGTTCAAAGTGACCTTGCGCTTCAGCACATTATCCTGCAGCGTCACAACCAGGAGGAAAAGCCACCTCTTCATGCGCCCCTCCCCCATACCCCTGGACCCTCATGTCCCCCACCTTCTTCTGCTCCAAATGCCCAGGCTCTGATGCTGCCCAGCCTCAGGGCCTTTGCAGAGGTGTTTCTACAGGGAAACTAGCACTAGACGTGGTAAGCACTAGACTTGTGTCCCTGTCTAAACATCTGACAACCATAACTTTACCTTGGCACTGTAGGATAAGCATTGGATTGCTTACCACAAGGTCAGTGGTTCAAACCCACCAACCGCTTCTTGGAAACCCTATACAAGGTGGCTGTGAATTGAAATTGACTCAAAGGCACTTCACAACAACTGTGAAATCAGACCAAAATACTTAACACTTTATGTCACTATTGTTATTATTCTTACTGGGAGGTTCCTTCCCTTGGTGGAGGGCTTCCTGACTGGAACCCCACTGCTCGGGCCTCAGCCCTCTTCCTCTGCCACCCTCTGGCCTTGTCCTGTCCCACCCCCACCCCACCCCCCACCCTCCGCCGCTGGGGTTAGAAGCAGCTGCCAGTTCCCAGTTCCCAAAACTAGTAGGGGCAGCTCAGGGTCCCCTGGGGTTACCTATCTGCCTGTCCCTCCCTTGACTCTTCCTCCTGTTAGAAATGAATCCCGATGTTGCATAAAAGACACTCGGTGAGACTAAATTACCTTGGCAAAGCAAAATTTACTCCTGCAGAAGGGTGCGTGTGCGTAGCACTACATACAGGAACAGGCCAGCGAGCACACCGAGTGGGCAGTCCACTCGGGTTTTTAATCCCTGACGCAAGTCTCAAGGCTGTGTCTCACCCCATTGGCTAGGGTTTTGACCGCACAATCTTTTCCCTTACCCGGTTGGCTAGTTCAAAATTTTAAGGCGCGCATTGCTACTTTAGAAAAAGAAAAAGAAAAAGAGAGCGATCATAAAGTCTTTACTTAAGAAAATATAAAAAAAAGTTTACCCGGATACAATAAACAGGATTATTATATATATATTCCCCCCCAACACACACTCCTAGTAGGATGAGGTAGGGGGGAATGTGGCATCTGCATTCCTCTATTCCTCCCACTCCAGACCTGGCCCCTAAGACCAGGCCTCCTGGAAGGGAGGGTGAGCCTGAGAGAGTACCTTCCCCACCCTTGTGATGAGCCCTGATTGGAGCCTGCAGCTTTCAGGCCCCAGCACTGTAAAGCTTTGCAGGGTGTGTTTCCAATGTACCAACCACTGCCCCCAGTTTTCAGCCTATTGTGGGGCTCTGTCACTCTTCATTCCAGGCGTCTGACACACAGTGGAATGAACAAATAAATGAATAAGTAAAGGTGGAATAAAGGAACAACTGAATGAGTGAGTAGGTAAAGGGAACAAAATAGGAAACCTCTTTTGTTGGGACCTCAAGCCCCAGAGCATTGGGGTGGGGAGGGAAGCAGACTAGTGCCACCTTTATCCAAAAGGAGACTCCTCAGGAGGGAGAGACCCACCTAAGAGCACTGGGGGGGGATTATTAATGCTCCATCACACCCCTGTACCAATGCCCAGAAACAGAACCCATCCTAGGGGCAAACCCCCTGCTTCTTCATCTCCCCTCTGCCCCTGACCCCAGCTGCATCTTGAAACAGCCAGTGCTGCTGAGATCCCATCTGTGTACACCCACAGACTGTGGAGTATTGATGGGCGTCGGAGCCTCAGCCTAGGCCTCCCAGGACAGAATGTAGAAGTGAGTCCTAGAAGCAGGTGCAGGTGCCAGTCTGGGTGGGTCACAATTCTGTAGTTCCCCAAACTTCCAAAGGCCTCATATTCCTGTCCTTGTGTGGTGCTGTAAGATAAGCACGGGACTGCTAACCACAAGGTCATCAGTTCAAACCCACTAGCTGCTCCTCAGAAACCCTCAAAAAAAGTTTGAGCTGTGAGTCAGAACCAACTCAACAGCACTTAACAATAACGAAAACACCTGTTAGTTCCAAACTGAAAAACAGGTGTTTGTGTTTTATTAACTGATTATAAAAGGAACACAGGGTTAGTGTAAAACCTCAACAGCACAGAAAGATGTCAACAGATAGGAAGCCTCTTGACCCCCTCCTCCTTCCCAAGAGCCCAACCAGGCCTGGTGGACCCTCAGGTCCACCCGCTGACAGTCTGGGTGGTGGCAGAGGCCTCAGGGCCTTGATCAGACATGAGCTGGTGCCCACCCAGCCCCCAGGGAAGGTTAGTTCTGAGGTACCCTCTGATTTTCTTTTGTAAACTGCCAGATGATGACCCTTTCAAAAGACTTGGAGATCCTTCAGATGAGAGGATGCAGGCAGGCCGTGTTTATGACCCAGTGACTCAGCAGACAGGCCTGGGGGAACCAGGGCTCACCCCCAGTGACTTCAACACTGCTTTCCAGAGCCACTTTCCTCACTGAAGCTTGTGGACTGTCCAGGAAGAGTGTGCACTGAGCCAGTGGGGCCAGGCATGTCTCCCCCCCAGGTGTAGGCTGACCTGGAAGAGCCCAGAACTTTTGCCGACAGGACTTTGGCACATGCAGTTGTGTGTGGGAGAGGACACCGGAGCAGATGTTTCCCTTCTTTGTCATAGATCATGGGGTTCCGAGAAACTGAGTCTATGTAACAAAGATGATGGCACTCATTCATTCATTCAGCTCGTGTTTATCACAGGCCCCTCTACCTCCCAACTCTGGACACACTCCAGGCTCTGCTAGTCATCTGCTCCCTTGTCCCTTCCCACAGCTGTGTAAGCTGTCTCTCTTATCCAATGGATGCACCAGCTCTGGCCCAAGCAACCTAACAAATACCTCTGCAGGCTGACTTTCACCATTGCCATTAAGACCAGGTATGTCTTGATGTGTGTGAGTACATCTATGTATCTGTATGTGCCTGTGTTAAAAGGCCTATGTATACATGTGTATCAGTTTATATCATGCAGCCATTGTGCAGGGTGCTAGGGACACAGTGGTGAAATCTACTTAATTTCTTCTTCATTTAGAAGTTCAGTAACTACATTAGTACCTCCTTTTATTTTGTAGTTTTGTTGTTGTTGTTATAAAATGATACCTGTTTTACCTGTTATAAAATGGTTCCTTATTTTGTAGGGGGTTTTTTTTGTCTTGTAGGTTTGTTTTTCTGTATCTTCCTGGTGTGATGTGGTTCAAACCCACCAACAACACAATACACATTCTTTTACAAGACATATGAAACATTCTCCAGAATTGACTCTATCTTAGGCCACAAAGCAAGCCTCAGTACATTTAAAAACATCAAACTACTACTAGCCATCTTCTCAGATCACAGTGCTATTAAATTAGAAATCAACAATATGAAGATTAAGGAAACAAAATCAAATACATGGAAACTGAATAACACCCTGCTAAAAAACCATTGGATGATAATACAAATTTTAAAAATGAAATAAAAAATTTCTTGAAGCAATTGAGAACAAAAACACAACATACCAAAACCTTTGGGGCACAGCAAAAGCAGTGCCTAGAGGGTAATTTATAGCAATAAATGCATACATTCGAAAAGAAAGAACCAAAACTCATTAGCAC